TCGATCGATGTGCCCTTTGGGACTGTCTGTTGAGGAAAGGTGTGCCTGATAAATATGTAAATATTATCAAAGCGCTGTACGCACATAGTTCGGGCAGGGTGAGGGTTTATGGCAAACTCTCGCCACCCTTCAGTATCACCAGCGGTGTGAGACAAGGATGCCCGCTGTCACCTTTCCTCTTCAACTTCGCTATTGATGAAGTCATGGAAACAGCGTTCGCTGGACACGACCTAGAAGGTGTGGAGCTACTCCCTGGTGAGCGACTTCTTGACTTGGAGTATGCAGACGATATTGCCCTAATCTGTGACAGCTCCCAAACATGCCAAACAGCACTGAACCGATTAGCACTGGCTGTCAATCGTTTTGGGCTATGCTTTGCTCCATCGAAATGCAAAGTACTTCTCCAAGATTGGCAGGGACCCAACCCTGCGCTAACGCTTGGTGGTGATCTGCTAGAAGTCGTTCAGGAATTCAAGTACCTGGGCAGCTATATTAGCACCCGTGGGATTGAAGATGAGGTTACGAACCGTATAGCAAAAGCTCGAGGTGCTTTTGCCAATCTCCGCCACCTGTGGCGCAGACGCGACATTACTCTCGCCCTGAAGGGCAGAGTTTACAACGCAGCCGTCCGTTCAACTCTCCTATATGGCTGTGAAACCTGGCCCATCAGGTCGACAGACATGAAGAGACTCGTCACATTCGATCATCGCTGCCTTCGCAGCTTAGCTCATGTCTGGTGGGAACACCGCGTGAGCAATGAGCGTGTTCGGCGTCGCGTATTTGGTACAGGAAGAGCGAGTGAACCGCTCAGCACGATTATATCACGCACCAGGCTCCGATGGCTGGGCCACGTGTTGCGCATGCCAGCACACCGACTCCCACGACGTGCTTTGTTTACGCGTTGTGGGTGCGGTTGGAAGAGGAGGAGGGGAGGCCAAGTGATGACTTGGTCGAGAGAAATGAAAACCCTCACTTCGAAGTTGGCGTCGGTTGGTGCATCCCGACTGCCTGGTTGGGGTCCTAAGGACGGTGAACACGTTTGGTTGGACACACTTGCTGATATGGCTAGGTGCCGGCCCCAATGGCGTTTGTGTTGTGAGTTCCTTTGTCCATCCCCCTCCTGTTTAGCATCCCCCTCCAATCACGATCTCAATCGTTTGGCATAATATGACTTTCTTTTACGGCAGCCAGCTGTTAGCTCTCCGGAACGATGTCCATCCGTTACTGGGGACTCAGCGGGCGTGCCACTGTTTGTTGTTGTTGTTTGTTTTTTTCTTCTTTTCTTGCCTTTTGTATTGCGGCACAATAGCTGAGGTGTTTTCCACCTCCAGCTAACGTGTAATGATGATGATGATGATGAACCTTCGCCACCTATGGCGGCGGCGCGACATCACTCTCGCCCTGAGGGGTAGAGTGTACAATGCAGCGGTACATTCGACTTTACTGTACGGTTGCGAAACCTGGCCCCTAAGATCGGCGGACATAAAAAAGCTAGTTACTTTCGACCATCAGTGCCTTCGCAGTTTCGCTCACATCTGGTGGGAACATCGCGTGAGCAACCAGCGTGTTCGACACCTTGTTTACGGCATAGAAAAAGGAACTGAACCGCTCCGCACCGTCATTTCACGCACCAGGCTCCGATGGCTGGGCCACGTGTTTCGCATGCCAGCCCACCGACTTTCGCGACGTGCGTTGTTTGCTCACCGGGGGTGTGGATGGAAGAAGTGAAGGGATGGCCAAGCGATGACTTGGTCCAGGGGAATGAAGGCCCTCACTTCGGAGCTGCCCTCGGTTGCAGCGTCACTGCTCCCTGGTTGGAGTCCAAAAGATGGTGAACACGTTTACCTCGATACACTTGCTGACATGGCAAGGAGCCGACCTCAGTGGCGTTCTTGTTGTGAGTTTCTTTGTCCCTCCCCATCCCTTTTAGCCTCCCCCTTCAATTACGATCTCATTTCGTGGCGCAATATAATTTTACATAATAATTTTTCTTTTTGCCCAATAGCTGGCTGGTAGCTTACCGGAACGATGCCTATTCGTTGCCGGTTGCTCAGCTGACATGCAACTGTTGTATTTATTTTCCTTTTCCTTTATGTATTGCGGCACAGCAGCTGAGGTGTTTCCCACCTCCAGCTAACGTGCATAATGATGATGATGATGATGATGATGATGATGATGATGATGATGATGATGATGATGAAGAAGAATTCCCTTGGTTCACCTCTTGCAATCATTAGTGTCTCGTCCATAGTAGGTTGGTGATGCATGATTGACCTTTCACGAAACCATGCTGTGCAGGCGTCAGGATGCTTTTCGACACAAGAAGCTGCAGAAAACCATTTTTTACGATCTCAAGCGTCTTTGCCTAAACTGCGGTCAAGCAGGTCGGCCGGCAGTTGTCCACTTTGCTTGGGTCACGACTTGATATTGGCTTCGCGACTGAGCATGTCCAGTCGCTCGGTAATGAACCAGTGGATAGTCACCTGTTGAACAGCTCAGTCACGAAAATCGAGGTGATTGGCATATCAAATTGCGTGAATGAAACCCACGCTTTCGCTCCATATTGAACGGCAGTTTTGCACACGGCAACTCCAACGGTAACTGATCGTGATGTGAATTGTTCGAGACTGGTGGGTGGCATGTCGCCGTTCTGCGGGTGCCATGTCGAAGTTGGTACTCATCAGAAGTAAACGAGCATCTTCACCTAATTGTTCCAACAACACTTACCGTTATCATTACGTGAAACTGCACCGTGTTAATCGCCCAGGTGCACCTCCACAGTGGACAGTTTTCCAACTTGAGCGTTCTGACCACCAGCCAACGGTGTCTATACCTTTCCTGTGACAAAGGAGCTCGTTCCTTACGGCGTACAGCTGACACACACTCATGGGCCATGCTCGATTTCGAAGTTTTGAAGGAGCCAGGCGATCTCTCGGCGAACATGCAGCTGCTGATTGGGGTCCAATCGATCAGCTTAACTTTAGCCTGATTCAGAGTAATGCCCACACTAGCTTGACAGGTATTTGAAGCTGCGTTATCTCCGGACAGGCGCATAGAGAAACTGCCGTCAGCATCACATGTGGAGGATCACTGGCGGATTTATGAGCCTGGGCAAGGGTGGTAATGGCTGAGACTACAATCTGACCGGCCAACAGTTACACCCATCGCGATCCGTGAGAGATCTCGGCGTGCTCTCACGCTGCGACTTGGAATCCATTGAAAACACGAACAGGCTTTACCAAAACGGAATGCGCATGCTCTGGGCGCTCAAACGCAGCTTCTGCATTTGGTCCGAAGAGGTTACCACCCGCCTCTTCTCTTCTATTATCAGACCAATGCTAGAGTACGGCTCGCCCGCATACTGTCCTCTCAGCTGGGGCGAGACGCAAAGGATTGAGCGGGTACAGCATGTGGCCACAAGACGCATCCTCGGTTTACGAGGGGTGCCATATGAAGATCGGTGCAAGAGGCTAGGGTTGTACACCCAATCTCGTCGTCGAATGCGGGTTGACTTCATCATAACACACCGTATGTTACCTCTGAGTGATTACCCCATGTTGAGGCCGCTCCTTCATCTGCGCACACTAAGCAGCACACGAGGACACCGGTACGGGCCTGTCGTACCCTATTAGAAGTGGGTAGCTCACCGATTCTGTTTCGAGCGGAGGGCGGTGAATGCTTGGAACAACTTGCCTGCAGACATAGTCGAAGTAAAGTCAGTGTCGGAGTTTCATGAACTCCTGGACTCGTACTTCTCCGACTTGCGATTTCGAGAATAAGCATCATCATACTAGGTAGATTTGCCTAAAAGATATTAGATGTAGCTACACAGAGGCAACTCTACTCTCTGCGTATTCACAGTATTTAGCAAACAGCCGATATCGACTGGTAGGTTCTCCATGTTTCCGGAAAATGCTTTATGTTGACTAATCTGTCACAAAGTGCGCACTTTGAGATATGCCATTCTTAGCGAGGATCGAGAGCTCCAACAAAGAACGGATGAACTTTCCTCAACTTGGTTGAATATAGACTTGTGGACACCGTACGATTGCGCGTGAGTCGAAACTAGCAGACAAGCGACTATCGAAGCAAGATGAGGGATGATCAAGAATGGGTGAGTTACTAACGGGGATAAGATTGAATGTGTAACGGGAAGATAAGGATGGAAAGTGCAAAAGTGGGATAAGAAGACGGGTAGGCGTGATCAATAGCATCCAAACCCCTATCCACCCTGCTCGATGCAACAGATAGGATGTCGTTGGTTATCATCTGCAACGGCCAACGTATCAAGCGCTTGTTTGAAGAGGAATTCATTATATTCTGTGTGCAGAATACTATCAGGTTGCTCAAACCTAGAGAGAACGATTAGAGTTCTCTACCAAAGATTAGTTCAAAAACCTGGCCGAAAGGCAGCGGAATTTTGGCACTGGGTTACAGGGTGTGGTTCGGATATTCGTTTTAGATTCATAAAACCCAAGAGAACTGTCAATTCCCGACTTAATGACCCTCTCAAGAAGAAACACCTACGTGATCCTCCTATCGTTTCAGTTCCGCCTGAACTTGAACCTAAAGCCCGCAAGTATCCTTGTAGAATGCGAAAATCAAGTGATCGTTGTGATTCGCTCTGACGGCTAGTATTTTCTTTTTCTCATTTCGTTCATACTGCTGCTGGTGCAGCCAACTCCCTTGTGTATCACCATAAATACATTAACCGGTCGTTTACCAAGTTTTCTGAAATAATAACTCCCTTGCTTGTTTGCTTCACTCACTCCATTCATGTCTACTTCTCGACACCTGTAGCAACAGAATCCAGCTCATCTCGAAGTGTTAGCCAGGTTCATCTTCCCTTCACTTCCGTCTTTTACTAGTTGGTTATGAGTTTAATGCAATCGCATACTAAGTACCTATTTTGTATTTCAGCCCCTCAGTCTGTTTCGATCTACGTACGCATTGGATGCAGAAGCTTTCGGAAATCTTGCCCTGAACACTTCCCCGGCAACATGAACGTTATGAAATTGAATGGTATCAAGGTTTATAATCTGACGGCAACACGCGCATTTCCAGAATGGGCTTCTCGAGCAGAGAAGCGGAGAAAGATGTCAAAGGACCCTGGACTTGCAAAACATCTCGAGTTGATACAGGATTTAGAGATGCCAGATTCCTCTACCTACATTTGCACCTCTCCGGACGGGCAGTATCTTTTTGCGCTGGGTCGGTATAAACCTAGAGTAAAGTGTTATGAGTTAAGCAATCTGTCACTAAAATTTGACCGTTGCGTGGATTATTTACCTTATCGGATTGAAGTTCTCAGCGAAGATTACTCCAAGTTTGCACTTCTGGAAGAAGAACGCTGGGTCGATGTCCATGCTGCTGGTGGACACTTTTTTAAGTTTCGCATACCAAAACCTGGTGTCGATATCGCCTATTCATCTTTCACCTGTGACCTATTCGTTGCTTCCTCAAGAAACTCTATTTATCGCATGAATCTCTATGAAGGTCGATTCAACACTCCTTTGTTCAGCTCACAACTTGAGGGCACTGGACATGGCTTTTCTGCTTCTGCTTACAGAAAAGAGCATAGCTTACTAGCAGCCTGCTCGACCGCTGGTCGTGTGGACGGCTGGGATGCGCGCACTGGAGATTGCGTTTTAGGCATCAAGGTCTCCGATTATGCACCTCCGCCAGAAGAATTTCGCGAATCGTTTGTTGAAGGACGAAGACGCACTGTCGGTCTTAGCTGTATCACCTACAAAGACCCCTTGAACATTGCTGTAGGAACCACTGACGGCATGGTCTATCTGTACGATTTAAGGCAAAACCGCGTTCCGTGGCATGTTAGGGATACGGAGTTCCGGCGCCCGGTCAAAACGATTGATTTTCATGAGGACAAGGTAATAACCTTGCTTCCCCATTGCCTAAAGATTTGGTACTTGGATACAGGAAAAATATTTGTCGGATTTGATACTGGGCGTTTTGAGTGCAATTGGTTGCACCATTTCCGAAACAGCGGTTTACTGATGTTGGCGACGGAATCACCAAAGATTGCAACTTATTTTCTCCCATTGCTTGGAGAGGCTCCGTCATGGTGTGGTCATCTGGATCAGTTGGTTCTAGAATGCGAGCCAGATGTGACGACTATGTATGATGGCTACAAGTTTGTCACACGTGAAGAACTAGCAGAGCTCGGAATGCTGGAACTAATTGGAACCCAGTTTTTGCGTGCCTACATGCACGGCTACTTTGTATCTATGCGCTTGTACACTAAAATAAAAGAACGATTGGGCCTTGTTGCCAGCTCCAATTTTGTTCCCACAAAAACTTCAAACCAAACAGCCACTGCCATCAAAACACATTCAGATGCAGAAGATGAGTTCACTGAGGCCTCCCGTGACACCAGATTTGCCAAGCTCAAGCTCGATCCAAAGTTTACTTTCGATCCCAACAATGAAGACTCGGATCTGATACGTATCCATCAAGCCCGCTTGGCCAAGAAGCGCCGACGCAAAGAGCAGCGTAAAGAGAGAGCAGCCAGAGCACATAAGTTGGTAGAAAAAGTCGAACAGAAATAAAAACTACATTGGCTTACTGTTGTAAATAAATTTTTTCATTTGTTTCCATTTTTCCTACTTTAAAATAAGCGTTTGATGAACTATTCTTGAATCGTATTCACCTTTTGGAATCTAATTTTCTCGTTAACTCTCTGGCGTGGTTTCTCAGGACGGAAGAACAATTTAAAGCTTCGTTGCTTTGTCTTTCATCTGCTGGCTTCAGTGCTTTAAGTCTATAAAATCGATTGCTTCGAGGCACTAAACACTAGAACATAGCTCTTGCATTCAGGAGATGAGGAATACCATCCGCTCTCGAAGTCCATCCATCATCTTTCTCTAATTCCTCCCTATTGTAACTACTCTATTTCAGTTAACCAACAGGAGGTTGCCTTTAACACTAACTAGTTCCAACCCCCTGCTCTACATTCTTCTAGAGTTAAATTTTGCACTAGACCCCCTTCATCTATTTGGTAATTTTGGTTGTATGGCTACGGAGCACCAGTTCGAATTACTGATTTACTACTGATGTTGATGTCGATGAAGATTACTAGTCCTTTCGACATCATATACACTGGCGTGCTCTCTTAATCTTCTTGAATTTTATGTGGCTGCAGATGAAAATTGGGTGTTGTCCGCCCGCAAACACTACACAACTATGACGCGTTTCGGTGTTATTTCATCTCATCAGATGGAGATAGCAGGTTTCGAACCCGCAATCCGAAACCTCTACCCCTTTGGCCACCAGGTCACGGCGGGCTGTGTACATGAAGCGCACGCACGAGGTTGATGTCATAACGAATCTAGTACCATATGACTCGCGTCCTAATGACGATGACCACGTTATCCGACTATCTGACGTTAGTGTACGAATAGGCCGTGGTATTTGTGTCGTTCTGCCAGATAGTGTGAAAGCTCAGTGCTGCTTTCGTTCCGATGTGCACTGCAACTCGAAGACCCCCAAAAGGATTAACATTGTATGCTGTCCTCCATCATTCGCTTGGTTACAAAATCGAAAGTCTTCATCATTGGTGATAAAAATGGCCGAATAGTACGACCTGGTTGATTGACTAAACGTAGTGGACTTAGTTGTCTTGTCCATCGTGGCCAAAATAGCCAATGGATACTACGAGCAATGCACAAAATTACAATGGACGTGGAAAAGTTAGTATTATTACTCTTATTGATACTATTATTATTATTATTATTAAACACTACCAATATACAATTGGCAGTGTCACAACACAGTTAACAACACCAACAAAAAGATGAAACAGGTAGACAGTGGAAATGTTTGGAGGGTTTACAAGGTTATTGTGTTGTGCTGGCAGAGATCTTCCCGGTTGCCCAGGCCGAGGAAGTAGGTTGACTTATGGGACCGCACCTCGAGTCTTTGCTCGGGCAGCAAGGCAGCGTGACGATTAACGGAGACTTGTCATCCGGGTAGCTCATTTGCCTTCTTTGTGTTCAGTAGCAGTCCACCGAGAAGCCGGTAGCCAACAAGGTTGTTCATCCGCCTTCCGTTAGGTACTCACTTCTGGTTACAGAAGTGAGTGATCAGTGACCCTATAGCCAGTCACATTGGCTTTGACGCAGCACCGTACGAGATGTGGTATTTGGTTGCGAACCAGGTGACCAGCCCAGATCTCCCCTCGCTTTGAAACGCTGTCACTGATTGTCCGCGACTGCTTATTCATCTCTCCCGCAAAGCAAGTAACGAGCGCCGTGAATACGTATCTTAGCCACGTTAAGTAATGAAACAGCGGCACACAGGCGATCCACCTCGATTGTTTTAGTGACAAAGAACTGGCTATCCTCGAAGAACCTGATAGTGGAATTTTCTTCTGTCTTGAGATATCTTTATCGCTATTCTCGGAACGATTGGGGTTCAACTCAAGGTCGTTCCCTGAGTTCCGCATGACAAGTGGAACGCGTCAGGTCTGCTCTACCTCGCATATTTCATTCAATCTTCTGTTCCCGAAGGTCAAGAGTGTTGCTGTTTTCTTTTACTTTTTCTGGAGTAACGATTCAGCCGGATTTCCTGTCAAACAGGTTTGAGTATACGGAAGACAAATCTTGGGACCGAACCCACACTCTGCGTAGTCCTTTCCGTATTGGCTTACTCTGGGTCCATATGTCTAGCGCGCTCAAATTTTAAAAGCTGTTGCAGGACTGGATCGACATGTCGCTAAGTTTCATCATCATCGAATAACCACGAATTGATGAATTGACTGACTTAGGCATGTTTTCTATCGCATCATACCACGTAAGGAATTATTGTGCATATTGGTCAAACCTGTATCTGTACAAGGTTTATCATCTTTTCGATGTCATATACCAAGTGTATCCATGTGACAATCTGCCGTATCCATTGTTGCTGTGCGGATGAGAGCAGTGGTCGTTATGGATTAAGAGCATGAACCGACTGATCATTTTTGACCATGAAGGTTGACGAGTGTTGGTCATCTCTATTGGAGGCACTCAATCAATAGTCCGGATGTCCCCTGGTTTATATTTGGATATCGATTCGGTGGTGCATCCGTGAAATGTCTGATGAACTTAGATTATGTCCTTCTATCATCATCGACCGCCGCTCCCACTGTGCCCGCATTGATTGCTGTTTCTCCACCTAGCGTGGTCCGTCCCATGGCCTTAAGGATCACAAATCTACCTTGGAATCCCGAGACTACGAGTTCGTGCCTGCACAGTTGGCCGCGCGACCACCGCAGCATCTTTAGCCCACACACGATTGGCAGTGATCGCGCTGCAGCGATGCGTAGGTTCTGTGTAGGAACCTACTACGCATGTCTATCTGGTTTGGTGGAACGTGCGGAGGTTAACCGATCACATGAAATTGAACGCAGGAATCTACGGAGAAGTCCGATTGCACTGATAAATGCCGTTTTGTCTAACGCGGATCCCAAAGAAGGCCACATTGGTGGTTTGGAATATCGTCTCAAATGGTATACTCGCAGTCTCAGTAGCTCCCGTTTATTCGGTCCATCGCTTCTGCATGCTGACACCTTCATGTGTATATTACAATATAACTTTTCTCAAATCCTTTTCGTTACCCTCTTTTTGTTTTCCTCTCACCTTTTCCTGCCATACTTAATTGCTTTTATCATTCTTTTATGGGGTGTGCCAATCGAGTCTCTTGCAACTCCGTGCTAGAAACTTACTTGGTCAACCGCGTTAAGCCAAACGCTCTTGTATGCTTCACACCTGACTGTGTTTCCTGTAGAGCTGCTCCTCTTTGGTTTCAGAGATATTTGCGAACAATCAGTTGATTTATTTATTTCACGCAAAAGCTTCGTCTTACTAGATGAATTAATACATAAATGATGCGGCGTTTCTATTACGAGTGAGGGATATAGTCGTAACAACTAAGTCATGACTGAAGAGACTGTTACAGACACAGGTGGAAAGGTCCTCTGAAGTGGTCCATTCAAAAAGTGGGACTTCCAGAGGTTTCACCGCCCATCGCGTTGCCAATTGCGGTCTTGGTGACGATGATGATGCCGGTCTTCGCTATTCAACCGGACCCACATATCGATGCATGTCAGACTGGCTGGATAGATTGGCAGGCACGCAGTCGAGATATCCACCTCCTACATTCTCTTCACACAGCGTTGACGATTTTAATCGCTTCGGCAATTAATCTCTGGAGCGTCGCTCGCCAACCTACCCTAATGACCTCGGCATTATCTAAATCGATCGAATGTCCCATGTTTTGCGCACGCACAGCTACGGCAGAGCAATGTATTCAAAGTCATTACTGAGCGGTCACAAAATGCGTCGTTTGTGTTCTATAAGCCGTGTTCCTCTCTCTCGCCGTTTAACTAATGTATACTTGTGCGCGGTCTTTGTAATTGATTTAGCACACAGGTAGGTGTCCCATCTGCGGGAAAGTGGTCCTTCAAACGCACCAGCACTGAACGTAAAGTTTGCATTTTCTGGAAGATCACGCTTTGCCCTGTTTGTTCTGTGCCATGCGAATTGTTTCCAAGGTTCCTTCCGTTTGAGGAATTCCCATCGTCCCCATCCATTGCTTTGCGGGCTTTATCTGAGTTTAATACCTTTTGTAACTTGCATTTCACTAGACATCGCGGATAACCACTGTAATAGTTCGTTCACCGCCTCCTTCCGTGTGACCCTTCCGACCTCTTCCGTTGTACACCGAGTCTGTACACTGGAATATCAATGAGGCTATCCTCTCGTAAGCGTGTTTCGGGTGAATTGAAGTATGTTGTAGTGTCCGTTGGGTATTTGTCGGCTTATGATAGGCTGTTATCTTTAAATTTGTTACTTTTCTTTGAACTAGATAGTCAAGGAACGGTATTGTATCACAAAACCATGGACTGTACTACAACGCGCTCATCAGCTACTGTTCCTGCTACTCACATTCACGGTACTCCATCACACGCCAAGTGTTTGTTTGCTAACAATCCTCACTTTCGGTTACCTGATTCATGTGTTCAACAATCTGGCTGCGATTCCGGTTGCTCCGCAGATCAAGGAGTTCAACCTATGGCTCTCCTTCGTCCCCGATCCTCGTTCCGTTTGGCGAGCTTCAACGTTCGGACACTCATGCAGAATGGACAGCAAGCCGGTCTAGCGCGCACCCTAGATTCCCTAGACATTGATGTCTGCTGCCTTTCAGAAACCCGATTGCAAGATCCCAGCACTGCGCTTCCATTGACATCCCCCACTGACCACGAAGCCAGATATCACCTGCGCCTTTCTGGAGATCCAGAAGCAGCCTCAGCGGGTTTGACTGGCGTAGATATAGCACTAAGTGGCAAGGCCCACGCGACACTACTGGACTGGTTCCCGATTAACAGCCGACTATGTGCAGTTCGGCTTCGGGGTTCATTTAGAATCCACAGGCACCGCGAAGAGAGACGCAACTTGTTTGTGGTTTCTGTGTACGCTCCAATTGACTGCAGTGGCGACTCGGTCAAGGACGATTTCTACCGAGATCTACATCAGCTCTTGA